TGGTGGGGGGATTGGGTGTGTGTGATGGGCACATGGGAGATGGGGGGGTGGTAGGGCAAAAGGGTATTTTGGGGGGGTGTTTTTATATGGTTGGGTTGTGGAGGCAGGGTATGGGTATGAGGGGTGGTCGGAGGGGAGCCCTTCTTCAGACTCCCCCCATGGCGCAGCAGCAGGAGGGGACACTGGTGTCTGGCAGTGCATGGCTCCGGCCAGTGCTGCACATCACAGCAAGGAGCTCAGCCCCTGCTGGGCTGTCTCTATCGCCAGTACTCCCTGCCACACACAAGAGTGAAGCTCCAGCTATCTGCTGCCAATTCCTGCCATGCAGGTCCTGGGAGTCCACGGGGAGGTAGAGGCAGGGCTCCTCTCCACTTCCAGCAGAGCCCCAGGATCTGTGCGGCAGGGATTGAGCCAGCTTCAGTGCCTAGACCTTCCCTCCCATGGTATGTGAGAGTGGGGGCTGCGCGTGTGCGGCAGGGAGCACCTGCGATAGAGATGGCCCAGCAGGGGCTGCACTCCTCATTGCAGTGTGCAGCACTGCCGCCAGCCCCACGCTCCATGCTCCCACCCAGCTGCAGCTTCATCCCCACTCCTACCCCCACCTTTCCACGTCCCTACCTGCTGCCTTGGGCGAGCAGGATGCCAGGGAAGCCGGGCAGCCCCGGCTGGATGCTGTTTGCTTGTCTGGCCCGGCCCTTCTGCCTACAAGGGTGAGAGTGAGGTGCAATAGGGTATGTTTGGGGTGGGTGTATAGGTGGGCACCTCACTCCCACCCTCATGGATGGAGGGGCTGGGTGGGGTACAATTCACTGGTGGGTGCCACAGGCTGGATGAAAGTGTCTGGTGGGCCGAATGCAGCCTGCGGGCCATATTTTGCCTGCTCTGGTTTAGATTCTTGCTTGACTTTGACTCCTACCTCTAGTTTCTGACCTTACATCTTGGCTTATAGTTCTGGCCTACTTCCCGACGTTAGACTTTAATCCGGGTCCTGACTGTTAAGCCGGGTCCCCCTGCCTGGTTCTTTTCACCAAGCTGCTCTTTCTCTACTGAAGCAGTGCCCTTGACATTTTGCTTAGTATTTGTCCCTAAAAAGTCTGAAGTGACTTGGTTCATTTCTTTGGTTCATCTCCTTGGTTAATAATGATCCCCCCATTTATCTTCTAGTGTCACCCCTCAGACTTTTCCAGTCTTGCATGTACTTACTGTTCTGGTAGTAACTAGGATACATCTTTGACTAAAATGAACTGGCTGATTTGTCAAAGGTTGAAGATTCTCTGTGTTTAGAATATATAATTGTAACTAGATACTTTTTTACAAAAATGTTTTTCAAGTAGTGTCTTGTGTTACCTTGTAGCACATACATATTTAGAATTTAAATAAAAACATAAATAAATAATAGTGCTTATTCTCCCTTACTCTCTCCCTCTCTCTATGTGGTTTATGTTCAACTGTTGTGGGTGTTTTTCTGTTTCTGATGCAGCTAGTTTAAGGATGCACAACCATGAAAATAATCCATCTGGGGAAAATTGTTCTCTTAAATGTTGATATAGTACATTTTCAGTAGTCTCTTTAAGAGCAAGTGACTCATTGTCACGATCCCTGCCTGTATAACACAATTGTGCTAAGTCACATTCTTTATTGTTCTGCTGTGGAGGTGGTTGGGAAAAGAATGGGAGGAGACAGACGGAGAGAAATAGCAAATTGTCGGGTGTTTTTCCTCTTCCTCCTTTTAGACTACTATGTCAAGTTGATTCTAAAGTAGGAAGCTTCTTAATACCTCTAAAATGATTACAAGCCAGAGCCAGCTGGTTAATGTGAAACTACAATTGATAAATAATGCTAGCAGTACTGTTAATGAATTATTTCTTCATAGAAGGAAAATTGCAAGTTCCTCATTCCTTGTTTTAGCCAAGAATAAATTTACCTTTAAATATAATAAAATAGAAAACGATTCAAGCAAATTTCTTTGATTTCAAATATGTAAATAAAAGGTAGGGGTGCATTGATAGATAATTTTTGGGCCGATATCAACGGCCAATTTTTAACAAGCCATATCAGCCAATACCAGTCTGATTCCAGTATGCAGCCCTGCAACATGGAGAGCAGCATCTGGCTGGTAAGTCTGTTGTGGGGGAAGTAGGGAGGGAAGGGGCATGGAGGGGGAGGGGGTGCAGATAGAGGTCCCAGCAGTGAGGGAGGGAGTGGAGCTGGGGCTGGGGCAGGCACTGTCCAGCCAGGGCAAGATGGGGCATGAAACAGAGCCGTGGCTCATCCGGGGGACATGAGGCAGGGGTGGCAGCTCCTGTTGCTGTGCGCACCCCAAGAGAGCATGGGGGGCGTGTGCCCCCAGATCTGCTTGTGGGGCAAGGGTGGGCTGGGGCAGTGCTGGGCTCTTCCCAGTGGGGGGCTGGGCTGGGCTGGGCTGTGTTTGGGGTGCGCGGCAGCGGCGCTAGGCGGCGAGCTATGGTGAATTTTGGGGTGGCTGCAACTTCCCCAAATCTCCCTTCCAGCGCAGCCACCACCTGCCCCAAGTGCAGCCCAACCCAGATCCCTGCTGGGAAGAGCCCAGTGCAGCCCTGGCCCCAACCCACTGTGGCAGCCTGCTCTGCCTTCCATACAGATCCAGTGGCACATTCCCCCAGTGCCCTTCCGGGGTGTGTGCAGCAGCAGGAGTCGCACTCCCTGGATGAGCCGCAGCTCCGTCCCATGCCCCATCCTGCCCCAGCTGTTCAGCGTCTGCCCCAGCCTTTGCCCCAGCCCCACTCCCTCCCTCATTGCAGGGCCTTGATTTGCCTCCCTGTCCCTTCCCTAGCCCCTTCCCCCACAACAGACTTATCAGCCAGACCTGGATGCACTTCACACTGCCCAGCTGTGCTCCTGGCTGCCTGTGTGCTGTGCTGCTGCTGTGCACATGCATGCAGTCTTTATTGGCCACATCAGAGAAAAAAAGCCGATTGCTGGTGCTCTCGATTTTCATTATAGATTTCATAGACATTAGGGGCTGAAAGGGACCTCGTGAGATCGAGTCCAGCCCCCTGCCATAGGCAGGAAGTCAGCTGGGATCAGGTGATTCCAGCAAGGAAAATATCCAGATGTTTTTTGAAAGAGCCCGGAGTAGGTGCTTGCACCACCTCTGGGGGGAATCTGTTCCAGACCCTGGACACTTGCACTGTAAAGAACTTTTTTCATATGTCTAGTCTAAATTGGCCTTCCTGGAATTTATGGCTGTTAGACCTTGTTATCCCTTGAGGAGCTCTGGTAAACAGCTGTTCTCCCAGGTCCTGATGTACCCCTCTTATATAATTGTAGGCTGCTACCAAGTCCCCCCCGAGCTTTCTGTTTTCCAGACTGAAGAGTCCCAATCCCTCAGGCTGTCCTCGTACTGCCTGCCCTCCAGGCCTTGGATCATATGAGTGGCTCTCCTCCGGACTCTCTCAAGCTTCTCCACATCCCTCCTGAAGTGGGAGGCCCAAAACTGGATGCAGTACTCCAGCTGTGGCCTCACCAAGGCTGAGTAAACAGGAGGATGACATCCCTGGTTTTGCATGAGATGCATCGGTAGATGCACGCCTGAGTGCGTTTTGCTTTGCCAGCCACTGCATTGCATTGGTGGCTTGTATTCATCTTGTGGCCAATCAGAACCCCCAAGTCTCTTTCGCTCGTGGTGCTAGCGAGCGTAGCACTGCTGAGCTTGTAAGTAAGTTGAGGGTGCCAATCCTATATGAGACCAATGTATCGGTCTAACAAAAGGGTGTGAGCTGTAAGTAGGGCACGCTATTTCCCCTTTTTAATTTAAACTGAGTTTATGCTTTAAGAACCTGCTTTAGAGAAGGATGTGATTGCTGTGGCTTTAAAAATGCTACAGTTTTCATTATCTTACACAAATTGTGTATGATTTTTCAGTCTTAACAAGCTGCAAAAGACATGCATCAATAAAACTAACATTTTTACACTATTAAAAGACATATATGTGCTTAATGCTGGGAGGAGGTGTAGTATTTTGCAAAACTATTTAACGTCAAAATTAGTTATGCTTATAATTTTCATTTTTCTCTTTGTTTCAATACAGAGTAGCTGTATAGCTATTGATGTATTAGAGATAGGCTAGGTTGGTGAAAGGAGTTAATTTGATATCTGCCAGTTCTTTATTTTATCTTGAAATATTTCAGTGTTTTATTTCAGCAGAGCGCTGGCACTGACAAAATGTGGGGCCCGTTTCTTGCTGGTTTTGGAAGTTTTACTTGAATAAGGACTTTAGGATTAGGCCTTTGATTTGTATAAATTTGTAAGTTTCTGCTTTCATCAAAATGACAGTATTTAAACTTCACATTAGTGTTGAGACTGACACTGCATTACTGGTAAGGAAAAAATCCATTAAACTGAATCAAAATGCTGTCATTTATATGCCTCTAATTATCAAGGGACTAGATTTATATTTAATATGCCTTTTCACATTTCTTTTTATAAGTGCCATTTGGCTTACTATGTACTTAAGGAATATCAATAGGTGTTTAGTTGGCTAAATGAAGTACAGATCTCTATTTCTGGATTCATGTATAGAACATCTTTTCATGTAGAAAGGAGAAACAGAAGTGGGTATGATTTTGATTAGCTAAATCTATAACAGGCAAATGTATTCAGAGGAGCTCTTGTCCCTTAATAGCACTTCTACTAAAATTGGTCAGATACAGTACATTTTTAGTGGGTAAGAGGTTATCAGCAATATTGCTGCTAGCCATTTCTACTAGAATCAAAAAGATGGGTGTAAAGTTTTTTGTTTACAATAACTGCTGCTAATATTACTTTCAGACCTTTCGTCTTATGTGTATTTCCATTCCATGTAAATATTATTTGCCACCTAGGAACAGACCGAATAAACTGAAATACTGTATGAGAATATTGTTTTAAACCAAGATTCTATAAATAGTTAAGCAGGTTTGGTTTCTACCTTTATAAAATAGTATCTTTTTAAAACTTGCTCTTTTGCATTTCTTTCCTAGGTCTAACTGCAGAGTAGGTTCTCTTCATGTGGACCTGCAAGTTAGACCCAGGACACAACCAGTCTTGAGGACTCTTTGGCATTGGTGGCACTTTGACTGTAAGTTAAATATCTTATTTGGTGAAAAAAACACTGTGATGTGGTTTAACTAAGCTGTAAAGTAACCAGAGATAGTTTTGGAGAGTTTACCACATACTGAGATGCTGATTCCTCTTTTCTCAACTCTTCAATAGGTGGATTGATTCAAAACACTGATAACTAAGCTAACAATTTGTTAAAAGCTGAAATTAACATTAATGCATTATGGGTGAGAAATCGTATAGTAAAAGTAATAATTAATTTAAACACCCATAGGTTCTATGATGTAGGCATGTGTAATTATTGCTAAAAGAATAAAATAGTGATCTGTCTGTGACCTAAAGATGATACAATCAGACAAACAGGATAGTATGAATCAGCAAATCTGTCCTAAGAACTAACCTTCCCATGCCCAAGAAATCATGTTAATGCTGCACTAAGGTAATAGGTAACATCAAACATCCAGGAAATGCAAAAGTTAAGGCTTCAATACCAGTAGTAATGAGGCTGAACTTGCAGGTATGGTTCCTAAATCTCTTCATATAACTTTTTTCTTTAGAAAGAGCCAAATAATTATTTCCTAAGCGTTCTTTCCTTGTGAGGCTTGCAAATACTGGTTTTGATTCGCTATGTTTTAGAAGTGCACTGATACACCAGTCTGATATCGGATTGGCAGCAATATAAAGAAAATTGGCTGTATTGGAAATCGGCCCGATGTGGCTGGTAATTTGGCCAATAAATGCCCATGTGTGTGCGCAGCCGCAGCGCAGCACACAGGCAGCTCGGAGAGCTGCATACAGCTGGTAAGTCCATTGTGGTGGAAGGGGAGGGGGAAAGGAAGAGGCATAGGAGGCAGATCAGCACCCCCTGTGGTGAGGGAGGGAGTGGGGCAGGGACTGGAGCAGGGGCAGCTGCAGCTGTGGGCTGGAGCCAGAGCTGAACTGGGCTTTTCTTAGTGAGGGCTGGGCTCGGGGCGGGCGAGCAGCAGCTCTGAGAAAGGGGCCCCCCCGCATAGCTCCCTCCCAGTGCCGCCGCCACCACCTGACCCGAGCCCAGTTCAGCCCTCGTTTCAGCCCGCAGCTGCAATCCACCCACCCCACCCAACCCTGTGCAGATCCGGGGATGCACTCCGCCCTTCCCCCCCATGCCATCCTGGGGTGTGCGCAGCAGTGGGCTGCCCCCTCCCCCCACACCGCCGGGACAAGTCATGCCTCCATCCCGTGCCCTGCCCAGCTGGGCAGTGTCTACCCCTTCCCTATTCCCTCCCTCACTGCAGGGGCATTGATCTGCCACCCCCCTGCCCCTTCCTTCAATGAAATTGTATCAGTATCGGCTGATATGTCTCCTTAAAAATCAGCTATTGGTATCAGCCCCCAAAATCTCTATTGGTGCACCCCTTCTATGTTTTTACTAAAGATGTCTCTTAAATTATAACTACTATGGATGGTTTTAAAGTCCACTCTGCTCTGATACTGGGGCTATGCAGTGGAATACAAGTAATAAAGGATAGAAAAGCTATGGCACATTAAGCTCTTTTTTATTTTACCTTTTGATAAATTACCTGAATATCATTCACTATAATACCTGTGTCTTACAATAGGAAAAGGTGAGCTCTTTATTTTTTTAAATAGGTATATTTAATTTCATTATTAATTTTAAATATCTCTTTATTTTCAACTGGAATAGTACAGTATTTCACAGAATATTAAGAATAATGAGTTTCATTGAAGAGTAGAAGAACTGTACAACTCTTGCCAGAAAGATAGGGACACTACCATTGGGACAGCAGTTGTCTTTCATTAATGTCATCTGTGTGTGGTTTGTATGTTTAAGAGCTGATCAAGAGTTCCATTGCCTTCACATTGATATTTTTGGATCAGCAGAAGAAGTCTGGAAAGATGGTCTTAAGGTGGTCATGTAGTCTACCCCACTGTTCAAGGCAAGGATCATTTTTGCCTAGCCATTCCAGACAAGTGTTTGTTTAATCTGTGATTGAACTTCCAGTGATAAGGATTCCAGTTCTACATCTGCTGTAGATAATGTTTTTTTTTGTTAACTGTCTTCATAGTCAGAAAGCAATTTGTAATATCTAAATCTCTCTTGTTGCAGTTTAGGTTCATTACTACTTGCCCTAAGCTGTTGGCTCCAGAAACCAATTGATCGACATCCTTTTTTGTATTTGAAAATTTATGAAATCCTGTCCCCATGTCTTTTATCTATGCTAGAGAATCCCAGTTCTTCCTCCAATGTCATATATGCTAGATCTAATGATTTTTATGTTCTCCAGACTTTCCAATTTGTTCAAATCCTTCTTAATGTTTGGTGCCCAAATCTGGACATAGTAATCCAGGTGAGGCAACACTATTATTGAATAGAGGAGAATTGCTTCCCGTTACTTTGATGTGATTCTCCTGTTAGTACATCCCAGCATGCTGTTAGCTCTTTTTCCTGGTGTAGTTATTATCTGAACAGATTTTACCCAGTTGTAGTATAAACCCTGTAGTGACAAAAAGGCATACCATTATTTTTTAAATTGGTAATCAACAATTCTGGCCATATGTCTCATGGTAACATGGCTCATTTTCTGGCAGATCTGAAAAGAAAGAAATAAATGAAAGGGGAAAACATCCCTACTGAGCATAGTTTACTAATTGATATGATCACATTGATACCAAGTAGAGAATGCCCACTGGAATCAATAATGGCTCCTTTTTGTTTTCATGAGCTCTGAATCAGATCTTTTGTGGGGTGCTAAATAAAAAGAAGAATCTAGGTCAGTGCTTCTCATCTGTTTTTCTTTATACTGCACATTACCCTTGGAACTGCCCCCAGCTGTTCGCATATCAGTCACCTTTCCTCTCCTCCTTCAGTTCTCCATGTAAGACGCATCTTTCACAACAGCCTCTTAAAGTCATTGCAGTATGTCCTGCAATCTCGCACATCTGAGCTTATCACTTGTTTGCAGTTGATTTAAATTTCTTTTAATCATTCTGTGCTACCATTGTCAGAACTGTATCATTAAGTTATTTTCTATTTTCCTGTACTTCAAAAAAACAACCAAAATATTTCAGGTATCTGCAAATTATTGCAGCTTTTTTTTTTCTCGAAAATCTCTGATTCCCATACTTTGGAACAAGGATTTGAAATTTAACATCAAAGCTTTTGTTGTCCATAAGAAAGCCACTTAAATTTGGTTCAGTTACAAGCCCTTTGGAAAAAAAGTTTTTACTTCTACTCAGATTTGGATTTTAGCTACAAAATTCCTTCAGAGATTTTTGTCTGCACTGGAAACATTCAAGTTCAGCAG